TGAGAAGTGGTTTTGAAGAGTCTCATCTGGTAGTAGGTGAGCACTGCCTGGATCCTTACTTCAGAAATCCTGGGCTGTGTTCAGATGCTGAGCTAGAGTCCTCGCTCCCCAGTTTAGAGGTGTAATACAAGTGAGCACTGGGTCCTTTTCAGAGCTCAAGAGCACACTGGTTTGCTCCCTGTCATAAATGTCCTCCAATATTTTGAAGAAATTACAGTCGTCTTTTCTGCAGTAGCTCTTGTTGACCAAGAGCAAAATTCTCCCTTGTTAAAACATTGGTATTCCATCCATGTTTAGATTCATACACGTTAATATTTTTTCTTACTAATATACAGTACAAGCAATATATTGCTGTTAAAATTGACTAATCGCCTGAACAGAATTGATTTGGTTTAACTACAACTCAAAACTGTTTGTTGGAAATTATTACAAATCAGTAGAGATGACCGCTGTAAAGCAAAATGTTATGCTAAAAGATTTTTACCAGTCCTGGGAAGCCAACATATTCTGCTAGTTTTGATTTATAATAACGGGAAGCTCAAGCGTTAGTAACTGTAAAAAATGGCATTGGGAGAAACTTTCCAGCTCTCTGAGGACGAGATATTCCTCTTGTATGTGTTGATGGGGAAAGCTACTGCTGGATTAGAATAAAAGCAGGCATAGGCTGCTGAATAGGATTTTCGTCGGCCAGACCTGCTTACAATGAAGTTGTCTGGCATTAGTGCACTTGAGGAGGCTGCCTGAGAAACACATGCAGCATGGAGGTGCTTAGCCTAGTCTTAAAAATTAATGAACAGACAAATAAATAAAAAAGCTGTCAGGTTTTTAATTGAAGTAATCCATTCAGGAAAGGAGTATATATGAGTGAAAATACTGGACGTAGGTTTTGAAATGTAAATTTTGTGGGGGAAAAAGTTCTTTTTATACAACTTTATTGTATTCCTTCATGACAAATATATCTCTAATAGAAGGTTCTAGCCATGGTTAACTGCTTTTGTTACAAAGCAATCACCACGGAATCTGTCCATCAGAGTTTATAGAAGTGGCAGAAACTCTGGCCATCATGATTTTTTAAGGAGATTGATGAATCTGGAGGCAAAGCTAGATAACTTTTCCTCAATTTTATCAGAATCGTAAGTAAAATTGAACATGTAAAGAATCAGTAGAACATTTTCAGATATGTTTGCAGTGGTTTCCCTAAGAACTTTACTGTTCTTTCAGCAGCACAGTCTACCTCTGCTGTAATTTTTAGGACATAATCCTATGAATGCATGTGATTAGCATACATAAGTGAGTAGTCTCATTAGAATCAAGGAGCTCCTTGTCTATGAAGTTATTTGCATGAGTCTGTAGGATCAAGGCCCCCTTTACCTCAACATTATATAAAAATGAAAGTACTTGCTTTGCCATTAGGAAATCCTTCTGCTTCTGCCCACGTGTAGCTCACTGTTCTCTGATTTCATGAATAAAAATGGTTTAGTTGGAGAGGAGATACTGATGTTTGTGTAATATATGGAGTGATGATTGTTCATTACAGAATTTGTTAGGATATGTGAAAACGTGTAGAAACGTGTGACTGTAATTTTATCATGCTTGCCCTTGTTGAAATCAGTGACAGACTTTCCATTGCCCTTAACAGCAATGGGCAGGTGTTTCCAGATGTTCTGGAGACTAGTGGTATGGTATGCTGTAGGAACGCTGAAAAATTAATAACTGAATTATGCAAAATGTAGGATTACTTGTTGCTGATATTATGGTTGTCACATGTCCCTAGTTACTACAAGATCAGCTTGGTGAAAAGGCAGCATTGTCACATGTCCCTAGTTACTACAAGATCAGGTATAGACTTCACCAGCTTGGTGAAGAGGCAGCACGTTTCTCAACTAAATACTGCATATGAAACTGGTATAATTTAAGCAGTTGTGCATAATACTTCCCCGTGCTTAACCACACAGATGTTTTAGTTGTAAAAATTAGGATGCAGATGTTAATTCAGAAGGCAAAGGTTTCTGGAATAAAATTAGACTACTCCTCCTCCTCATTAGAAATTTATTTTTCTTTTGGAAAGCAAGCACAAACTTAGCCATTTTTCAGTTAAGTCAGAGTTAAGTACAGTAGTCACGCTTGTGTGATTTAGGAGGAAATGCATAGGTGGCCTTTAGATCCATATAGTTGACCAGTCCACGTTTCCAAACGTGATACTTCATTTCCATGGAAGAGTTTTTCCCCCGTGCATTTCCTAAGTGTATCATGTTGGCTGTGTGCTTATTTTTTCAGTGGTTTAGTTATATTGTAAGTGGATATATGATAGTACGAGGTGCTCGACTTTCAACCTGCCAGAGGCTTTGTCTGCAGCATATGGCTAAGAGATAGTGCCATCTACTTGGTGTCTGCTCAAAGGAGATAACACTGTTGTTTGTTAAGCAAGACACATTTGTTATCTTGCTGTAATGTACACATTTCTTGCCGTGGTGTACTTAAACCCAGGGCTGAGTAGGTACCGAAAATTCAGTATGTTTGCGCTTATGTCACCAAACAAAACTAGTGTCTTTTTGCAAAGATTTCTAATTCTGTCCCTCAGAGTGGTGATTTTGTGATTTATACAACTAGAGACAAGGGGATGGTGAGGCTGTTTAATTCATTTAATCTTATGGTCTGAGTCTTCAGTTGAACTGAAGTCTCTGAACTAAATCACAGCACACCCATATCCCTCAAACTGTCAAATAAAACATCTGTTTATGATAATGATTATCTTAATTTAAGAGTGAGTTCTATCTCACTCAGTACTTTTCTTCATTAGTAGAAAGAAGTAATGGAAGGCTACTTACAAGAGTACTTACCACTTAGTTAATAACTACTTCCAAAGTAAAATAGTGGTGAAGGAATATTGGAATTCATTTTAGGCTCATATATATAACTTCCTTCAGAAGACATTATAACAATTAAGCATGTAGGATTGCATGATTTGAAGTATGGCATTGTCTTTCCTATTTTCAGTAGAAAATGACTGTCTCTCCATCAGTTTCAGCCAGGTCTCTGACTGCTCATAGGTCAAAAATATGAACACAAAGTTTGCTTTAAAGTCCGTTCAAGCTCCAGCAAGTCAACAGACTGGTTTGTATCCGTGTGGCAGCTGAAGTGCTGAAGTTTGTAAGTGGAAATTGAAGGACTTGACGGTCTAAAGTTAGGCAAGAAACCCAGAGATAAGTACCTAAATAAAAAACCTTTTTCGAATGATGCAGGAAGTCCTGGTAACTGGGAGGCCTGAGTACATCTGGTGAAAAAGAGGCTTCCAAATATGTGTAAATAAGAATCTGGATGTGTAACTTTAGGCATTCAAATTGGAAAAGTTTGGTCTACTACTCTGTAATTGGGTACAGAGTTCTTCATACCACACTACCTGTGTGTGGGTTGGTTTGTTTGTTTGTTTTGAAATCATTACAGTTATAATTTTGACAGTGGCTTCCTAGAGGAGACCAAATGGAGATGTCCAACTGTGTGAGCAGGGGCTGTGGACAGGGAATGTGTGATTGAGTATGTACAGACCAACAAAAGATTCTTTTCAGCCTAGTGGGAGGGGAGAGACCTAGGGAACAATGGCATGAGGAGAGGGGGACAGATATAGGTAAATTAACCTATAAATTAAATATATCGTAGCACTGTTAGGACTCTAATGTAATAGATGCCCAAAACTTTTGTGTGTGTGGATGTGTGCGTAGATACTTTTCCGAGTTTCCCAGTCGTGCATCCCATCTTGCAGAATTTCTCTGTGCACAGGGTATTTCTTTGTGCCTGCAGAATGTCTTCTGCACAGTCTTCACTGAGGCCAATGTTGTGTTTGGTGCTTATGGAAAAACAACTATTTCAAGGCTTGCAGAAGAGTTGGTGTGTTTGTTCTAATGTCTTAACTGCGTCACAGTGATAACAGCAGCTGAACAGCATTTGTCTTGTGTGTATTTCTGTGTGCAATAGAACTTTTTTTTTTTTTTAAATACTTTTAATGTATAAGAAAATACGAAATACTACAACAAAATAATATTTGTGAATCCTGCCCAGGGTCATTCAGATACTCAGATGTAACATTTTATGGTACATTCAGAGAAAGACATGAAACGAGACAGAAGACATTAAGCAATGACATTATAGTCATCAGAAATTTTTTATATTTTTTATTGTTTAGATCCTGATACAATAATTGTTCTCTATCACATATAATTGCCACAGTGTTAAAATATAATTGTAAAATGCATTACTCTGATCCATAACTTGAACCTTTCTACAGCTCATGTGGTTGTCTACACACAGAACTATATATCTGTGACTATTTGACGGGTCTGTTCTTTTTTTAAGTGAGCTGAACTTACTTCTGTTGAACTTAACCGAGTTGACCATTTTTCAGCCTCTGATGCTGCAGTAAAAATGTGCTTCCTTAAATCTGGTTTGCTTGCAGACGGAGTCTGACACAGTAGATTTAGTACAGCTGCAGTATTAACATTCAGAACTCCCATGCTGCACTGTTTTCCCACATGCAACATAAAAATGCTGTACAGTTTCTCTCTCCAAGGCTCCTCTATTAGGGTATTAACTAACTCTGTGCCTCCAGTTTGGTTAATGCCTTCATTTATATAGAATACAGTTTTACACACTCATTCAAATTACTATTTATTGCAAAATAAGCATGGTAAAATAATAATTTTACCCAGTGTTGCCTTAATATTAATTTTCAAACTGTGAAAGTCAATGGAAAATAAATCTGGGAGAGGATTGGTGAAATGAAAGATGCAGAATCACAGAATAAATTAGTTCCTAGAGAATAACTTGTGCTTATATTTATTCTTAACTAGTTATAAGAAAATACAATGGAAAAAAAATCTGCAATTATAAAGGAAGCAGCAGGGATTTATATATACACTGGTATAGGAGGGAAAATGCTCAAGAATCTGGGTCATCGCTTTTATTGTCTCCTATCACAACATTGATTTTTGTTAACTCAATTTCAGAAGGGCAGCTTTTCCATGGTTTTGGTGTTTTTGAGGAAGGTGTGATGCCTTCAGGATGTACCAGTGAGATTTTGAAGGTAGGTTTGCAAGTTACATTTCAAAAGGTGATGGAAGGAAACGTGGATTTCTTTGAAGGCCTGAACTGTAGAACCCTGATGATTTGAATGTTGTTGAGTTTCTCGTCAAGAACAGAGTGGATGAAAACAGATTTCAGTTTCAATCTTTCCTTCTGCTCATGCATTATAGGACTGTGTGCTTTCAGAGTGGGACAGCAATCGCCTCTGCCGCATTCAATCCTTAAAGGCCAGGAATGGCTTCAGTGCCCATTTCCTCTTACCAAACTTGAGAGTAGTCCGTTACACCGAACAAAGCATTTCAATTCATCCTTCAAGTTAAACTGTGTGTCTACCTTTTACAGACCAGATTTCATTCAGGAAGATTTTTGGGAATGTAAATCATTGGGTTCATGGAGTAGATGGATGTTAGAGCCCTGTGGTAGATAAATAACAAGAGGACTACAGCCTCCTCCATTTCTTTTCATGTCAAAAGAAGTTCTAGTATTTTTATCTTCTAAAGAAATATTTCCTAACCTATATTTCACCAAGGATCCTTTTTTGGAGCTATATTACTTTTTCAGTCCAGGTTTTGAAATTGCTTCTACCCTCTTTATTCAGCCTCTATAGGTCCCTTCTACCCTATTTATTCCCTCTATTGGTCAAAAAAAATCTCAGCTTTGGTTTCTAATGGGTTCGGCAGCGGAGGGTAGGGAGAGGGCAAAATTCTTGCTGGTGCTGCATCTCCCGATGGGAATGCAGAGTCCCACAGCCAGCAGAGCCCTGGGGGAGGAAAAAAGCATAAACATTCTTTATAAAGCAGAGAAAATAGGTGCAGGCAAATATTTTAAATTGAACTATAATGAAATTATTGTTTATGGCCCAGCTTCTACCTTCCATCCAGAATCTGTCATTTAGGAGATTGGGCCAGCAGGTGGCAAATATAATTGAATTCAAGAAAATAAATAAGGAAGTAGGCTGGGGATTGTTTGCTAAAAAGAAGACATCTACTTTACTAATTAGGAGGATTTATAGGATGCTGTACTTAAAAATAGATGATTATTGATAGCTCCTCTTAATCATGAAAGTTACCTTATAGTCTCAGTTTCCTGGAACCCACACTGCTGCAGCCATCAGATGTGTGCTTGCAGCATGCACAGGGAAACTGTGTACAGCAGTGTCTCAGAGATGGGGGGCAGGTTTTTTAATTGCTGGTTTTAAAAGCAGCACCCTGAGCACCCGTGTGTTTGGGCTGCACTTGTTACTGCAGTGTGGACATAGGTGTAGAAAAGAAAGGATCCTATGGGGTTCTGTGTTAGAGTAACCAGAAACAAGGGCCCCGCTGCACTAGATGCTGTTAATTTCATCTGGAAACTTTAGGAAAGGCTGCACAGAAACAATGTTATTAATTTAGAGAGGATGTAACAAAAGATAAGGTAAATTACATCTGGTTTTGGATTAGGTAGAAAGAGAAAAGAAGTTGGAATCCTTTTCAATTAATTATAAGAGAGTGTAAAAAATCATAGGACTATAGAGAACTAAAATGAAGATTCCTTTTGAAATTCTCTTATACCTAAGTAACAATCTAAAGGTATTTTAAGTGGAAATCAGAGGTAGATATCACACTAAAATATATGTCTGAGGAGATTGCTGAAGTAGAAGTTAAATTAATCTTTTTTTTTTAAGGACACAGTGGTGGTAACTCTGACATTTAGGTCAATATCATTTCTCATTAGAGCTGTTTTAATGTTCACAGCTGCATCAGTTGCTATTGAGCTCATCATGGCAGCCATGGACGGATTACACATTTCCTTATGTCCTTATCTAATTCATTTCTCTGTGCTACACTTTGGAATAATTTGAATATGAAGTATATCAGGAAAACAGGGTTGTTTTGTTCTAAGCGGAGAATTCGAGCAGAACTATTTCTCACAAAAAGTTACAAACATCCAGAGTCAATTACCATGAAAGACATTGCAGCTGAGATTGGAAATGTTATTTTGAGAGAGTTAGATTTCCTTCTGAAAAGAAAGAGCATTAAGGGATATTTTGAAAATGTAGAAGGGGAATAATAACAAAAAAAAAAACCCATAAGATGAATTTGGCTCACCAGCTTTTTTTCTATTTCAGGTCTAGCATTGATTTTGGAGATAAAACAGTTGCATCAAGCTGGGGCTAGTTTAGTCTTATGTGCTCGGTGAAATGGAGTTGATTGACAAGGATCTGGTCCATTCTCTTCTATTTCAACCAACCAAATATATTTTTTAACAATTTGGAGAAAAATCTTCTATTTCAACCAACCAAATATATTTTTTTAACAATTTGGAGAAAAATGAAAGTTTCAAAGTAAATATTTTTATATTAATTCTTATCCATTCTATAGTTCTATAAAGCTTCTTTGTTGCATACACCTCCAAGTAATTTGTAGCGATAAGATGCAATGCTGAAGTAAAACAGTTAATTAAAATTTAGATTGGATATAGATGATTTTCATGTGGTATTTCAGAGAGTAGAGAGTAGAGAGTTCTCTACTTTGACAGCATTTAAGCTTTGTTGTTCAATTTTGAGCGTGGATCCATCTTCATTGTGGGAGAGTGTTTCCCCTTCTAAAGGGTTTCTGTGGAATCTCCTGCAACACACAGAGACTGTGCTGTACCTTTCAACTGGGTCCTACAAATTAAAGCCTCCTCCTGTAGCAAAACCACGTTCTCTCCATTGGTGTTTTGCATTGTGTACTCATGAAGGGTTCTTCTGGACTTAGTTCTAAAGGAATAATTTTGCTATTTAAATATAAACATCAAAGTTCTTCTTTAATTGTTAAACCAATATTAAAGTAGGACAAAACTGATTTACAGTTTATTGCATTGCATTCTGGAATTGCTGGCATTGCAACTGATGTCCTGTTTCAGCGATATTGGCACTACCAGGAGGCTCAGTAATGTAGATTTTAATCAAAAACTTTATTTGAGATACATTTCAGTTAAATTATAAGTTAATCCTTCCCTGTGAACTTCCAAGCTGTTAAAAAGGGCAAATGGCTGCAGCTTCCTTTGAAACAATTCAAAAGCTGCTTTTCGTCAGTATATGATTTCAGTTTAATGGAATTGAAGGTTGAGTGTCTTTTTCTCACAGATTGTTATTTAATCACTATATATTAGCTTTCATTGCCCTTTTGATATATTTAAGCTCATAAACTTCTCATTGAATAGATTGAATTTACCATTATGTTGTTACTTTTTATGAATAGAATAAATCAATATCAGATACGTTGGTTTGCACTGAATTGTTTATTTTAAGGGATGTTTAAACTTGACTGAAAGGAAATGGAATGTCCGATGCCCAGTCCTCCACTTTGAAAACTCATTATTTGGTAACACTTTGAGATACAACCAGCCTCAACCAACAAGTGCTCTACATGCTACCCAGAGACAGAAGGCTAATGAAATTTCCTAACATTCTTTGAGATGTAATATATTTTGCAGTATTCCCCATACATAACATTTAAATACTTGCAAATTGTTTTATTAAGCTTTCATTTCATTATTAGGGAAATATTCCAGGGTAAAACCAGTATTTTTTTTCCCACTTAAATTATCAACTCTGTGTTGAAAACATCTATCTGATATCTCCTTATTTATATATATATTAGAAAATCTTACATTGGACATAGTCTTTTTCATTCAGAAATCAAATGCTAGTAGATTCATGAGAACTGCCTTCTAAAATGTATTGCCCGGTTCTTAAAATTTATGGTACCCACAAAACTTGAAAACATCTGTTCTGCAGACAAGACACTATTAAAATACACTTAAGCAGAAAGAGCTGTCTCTTAATTCAGAGTCAGAAATTCACTGTGCAGGGGTTAGTTGAGCAGCTGTGATTCCAAAGAAGTGATGAGCATTTTTTTAGGTTTTTTGATTAAGAGGAAATAGTAATTTATTTCATTTTAAGGCTGTAGTCCTCCAATAATCTGTATAAACCAGCTGACTTTGTCTATGAATTTGAAGCACAGTATCATTGCGTTCATTTTATCATTGAATTTTAGGAATGTTGTTTCTTGCTTTTTTTGTTCAATATATGTTTATTATTATTAATCAGGTGAAGTTCCACCACAGAGGCAATTGCAAAAGTGTGTATAGTGGATATAAAAACTTGGGAATTCTTACATCAGTGTAATCATGTAATTACAGCCCCAGCTTTGTGCTTGACAGAGGTATTTTGTTTGGATTCAGTGTTGCTCTGCAGTCTTCTCCTCACCAATTATGTATGCATCTTTATTATTGTATTAAGTAGCTAATTAAATCTGGTCAGGTTAACCTTTCTTGATGATTAGAAGTAGGCATCTCATCCACTGAAAAAGCTAATCATTTTGGGTGGAAAATCTTGTTCTTGTTTGAATAATTATCTTTGTTTACATTCACACAGCATTAATCACTTGAACCAGGCATCTTTTGGAAAAAAAGGGGGAGTGCCCATAGCAGGTTTTCAAATGCTGTGTACATAAGTTATAAAGGAGGATGCATTTCCCTTCATTCCTCTCAATGAGCAAAATAGGAAGACATTTTGAATTCATAATCCCGAATAAAAGCTGTATTTTCAAAGTACACAAAGAACTGTAGTTTGTTTTCAAATAACTTTTAAAAGCAAGTCCTCCGGGCTGATCAGCTGAACTAAAGCTTGTTTCCTCGGTGAAAATTCTTCAGCAGTAGCATTGCAGTATTTTCCTGGTAGAGTATTTTTCATTCTTTTCCAATTATTACTGTTATTATTTTATAACTTTATTTGTCTTTGTTCCGTGGTCTGTTCTTTTTTTGAATGCTAGTGAAAGCTTCTTGGTCATTTTCCCTGTTCTTTCCCTCAGTTTGATATTTTCTGCCAACTCTTCTGCCCTAAATCAGCAGTAGCATTGCAGTATTTTCCTGGTAGAGTATTTTTCATTCTTTTCCAATTATTACTGTTATTATTTTATAACTTTATTTGTCTTTGTTCCGTGGTCTGTTCTTTTTTTGAATGCTAGTGAAAGCTTCTTGGTCATTTTCCCTGTTCTTTCCCTCAGTTTGATATTTTCTGCCAACTCTTCTGCCCTAAAGCCTTTTTTTTTTTTTTTTAATTTTTTTTTTCCCCTGCAATGGCTGGGTCTTGCCTCGGTACAACCACTGCCCTTATTGCTCATGGGAGGAGTGTATCCCTAACAAATGCTCCATATGTTGTGGCTTCTGTCGTTAAGGTTGGAAAGACCAAAAGGAGAGAAGGCAAAGCGACCTTCTGGCAGTTTTCCTGTGCTCCCTCCACCTTCCATCTGAGGCTCGGGAGCTCTTCAGATTCCTCTTTGGAAAGGATTCTATAGCTCAGCCAAAAGATGTTCACGCTGAAGACTATTTTGATCATGAAATATTGTGATGGTTATAAACTATTGCTTCTCAGGAACAAAATCGTGGGATTATAGGAGAGCTGTAAGCTCAGTGCTCTGTGGTGCAGAGAGCAAGGAGGATGCGAGGAATTACTAGAAAAGAAATAGAGAAAAAACACGAGAAACTTCTTGATACCATTATAAAACCATCATATATCTGGATCCTGAGTCCTGTGTGTCTTTAAAAGGATATGTTAAAACAGCAAAAGCCATAGAGAAGGGCAACAAATGCAATCAAAGATATGGCAGATGTCATGATTGTGAACTGTATTCCTGTGTTCCTTCTACAAAAGGCCTTGAAGTCATTTAAAGAAACAATTTTTATGCTATTCCTTTTCTGATTAAAATAATTTTCTGCAAGTGACTTCAATGATACATATAAATATTATGGTTATCAGTCTTCACAGTTAAAATAAGGCTTTTTTCTTTGGCAAGAGGAAGGCGATAATGCAAATTCAGATTCCTAATGCATTTCCACTGCCTCTGCCCTTATGTTCCAACAGAATTAAGGAAAAACTGTTTTTTCATACCTTCTTATTTATCCACTTCTTTATGTGTCTTCTATTCTTTAATTCTCACTTTATTTTTTGTTTCCTTATCTTTCCTGTCCTATTTCTTTTTTATGGTTACATGTGTGGCTGCATTTTTCTCTCTTATTTGCTTACTTTGCCTTGAACTTTCTTCCAAATCCTTCAGTTTTCCCTTTTTAGCTAGACTTGACTATACACATTGAATCATCATTCTTCTCTCCTTCCGTTTTCACTTCCCTTCCTGTTCTACTCCAGTATTTCTATTTTCCCCATTTCCCCTTAATGTTACCGTTTTCCCCTCAGCATTTGTTGATGTCTCTCTTTCCCAGGTACTTCCCTGTCTTTTTTCTTGGTATTTTGTACTTTAGCTCAGAAGTGGAGACTGAATGGGAATTTGGGCCTTGAACTCTTTTTTCAATAGTGCACAACTGGGTAGAAACTACCTTAAAATCCTGAGGGGCAGGTTGTCTCCTAACTGACCTGTGGCATGAGGATGACTGAGAGAAAATAAATTCCTCTTTAGCCAATTTAACTTCTCCTAAAAATTCAGGCTCCATCCTTCCAGCTGGAAACAAGATAATATAATGGGTTGTTACAAGCTGTTAAAATTTCAGACTGAGGAGGGGGAATAAGCTGAAGTTATTCTATGAATTGTTCCGTTCTTTGTGGGAGGCTGTTAAAATAAAGCAACAATATAAAAGATGAATTATATACAAGTTAATGTAAAGCTGTTTGATGTCATTATGATATTTCTTCCTTGATTGTCTAACATTTGTGTACTTCTAAAAAGTTTTACATTTTTTTGATTCTTTCTGAACATTATGAAAATTGTACTGAGAGGAGTAAATTCATCTGCATAAAATTGACTGCAAAGAGCAATTAGTCCTTCATTAATATGCAAATTTGGTCCAGTGCAAATTCATCTATATATGAGGCTTAAATATGCAAGTCAGTCTTGCTGTGCGAGAAGCCCAGATGCTTTTATTTACTTTGAAATTGAGGGATTTGGTTAATGATGTTGTTGACAGGAAAACTTGAATAAATTTGATGATCACCATCTTTCATATTAGACGAGGCCCACAGAAAAAAATTACCAAGTAAAATACCAATTTTATTTGGTAATTTCCTATTACCAATCTAGTAATAAAATGTAAGATACAAAGTAATAGAGTTACATTTCCTAATGTAGTTATCCTGAGACTTAAACTGTTCCCCAAAGATAGAACCATTTTTCTTAAACTTTGTTTTTTCCAGAGGGTAAAGACATCTACATAAGCTGTATGAATAACACACTGCCTAGAGATTTAATATTGGGAAGTTAGCTCTGGTGCTTGTTTCATTTGGAGAGAGTATATAAGCCTGGGAATTAAAAAGCAGGAACTTTGGAAATGGCCGTCATTGTCATCTTCCATTAATTATCTGTGGAGTCTTCTCAAGATTTGGTGTTGAGGCCTTTGCTCTGAACCTCTGGAGCCAGACTGGAAGCTGTCTGAACCCATCGCCAATTATATTTGGATCACCTAAGCTGATTAACAAGCATTTTCTTAAATATCTTTAAATCTTTGCGGCCCTCAGTAACCCAATTGTCTTACTGCTGCCACTCAACATGGGCTGGCTCAGAGAGGCAGAGGCTTTCCTACCAGTAAATCTAAGATGTGATGTGTCTTGCCCCTTTCCTCCTCTCCTTGTTTCAGTCCCAGTGTGCCCGTGGCTCTTGGCACATCCAGGATTTCTCTGGGTTTGTCCATCAATGCCACATCAGCCATCGCTCAGTCGTGTGTGGATCAGGGTCCCTTTGCTTTTGCTAGTCTTGTTTCATCTGCAAGGAGAGGGTGCCACCCACTATTCCTCCCAGTGTTTCTTCCTTTTTATTTCTCTCCATTTCTCTCAGGCCTAAATTTATCTTTGGCTTAAGCAACCTGGTCTTTGACTTCAGTCATCCACACTTTTTCCTGGACTAACTTTGGTCTTCTGTCTTGTCTGTGTGGGACATTGGCACTTTGAAAATAACAGAGAAACGTAGTTTAAATGGACTGGACTCTGTGGCAATTTATAAAGCTCTAGTGGTATCTACCTGAGGACAAGTTAATAGATTATGCCATTCGATTCCTCTGACTTCTTGGCACAGCTGTTTGGGGTATAAATCCTCATAGTGGTGAGCAGTTAGCTTCCAAAGCCTTAATGTGCTGTACTAGGCAAAAAGTTTATAGAACAATGTTAAGGAAGGAAAAAAATTAATGAGACACTAAAATTGATGTGCTTGTTCACCCCGTGGTGTAGCCTGGCAGATGAATCCAAAAGCAGGAAAATAGAGACAAAACTGGGTATTTGTGGGGAGTAGAGGAGGGGTCTGTTAGTCTTGTAAAGGCTCTGGTTATCCTACAAGGGAATCTGTCCTTAGAATCAGAATAAGGCATTGACAGCTGTCAGAAGGCGTAGTTTAGAGGGTATATTTGCAGTACTCAATAGTTTAGGAAGTGACAAATGGATTAAAAGGTGGAACTTTCAAAATGCAACATCCCCTGAAACTTAAATAGTCTTTGCCTTTGAGAACACAATGTTGTGGGACAGTTTCTAGTATTGTTCAGTACCACCCACAGCAATTTTGGCTTTCTGATCTAGCTCCCAAAAGAAGGTAAATATTAATTTTCAAATATAGACACAGTAGGCATCTCAGCACAACCTGAAGTTGTCTGCTATCAACTATACAATCTTTATATTCTAGATTAATAAATACTTCAGCCTTGGAGTTTATTAGTCCAAAATGTATTTATTACCTCATAAATTCAAACCCCCTCCAGTTATCATCTAATTAAACTGTAGTACTGTGCATGCTATCTTTGGGGATGTATTAATAATGAAATTATCTTGTGAAACAGTAATTACATACTTTGTGCATTCTTTTCCATACTTTTTTTTCCAGAGTCTGTGTGATGAGTGGGCAACACAGTGCCCCATTGTTTTCAGCTCCTCCAAGCTCTGTAAGTATCCAAGGATAAGCAGATTTTTGTTTTGTTTTGTTTTGTTTTCCTCTTAGTAAAAGAGGGAGAAAAGTTTGTGCCTTTTTGAACTTGGGAGAAGGAAGGACCAATACTACTAGGCTGGGAACAGTTATGAAACATGGTTGTGCAAGTAATTTTAGCTCATGTTTTCTTCTCACTCTTTGAAGAGATTACTCACAGGAATAAAACCTATTTATGGGATCTTTTTTGTAAGGCAGTTCTTACGGCAGTTGCCAAAATGTGAAGAAGACCACTTTATTTGCAAGAGAATATTAATTTACAGGACTTTGTTGGTGATGTAGATTTGAAAAAAAGGAAAATAGTCTTAAAGCCTTCCTCAGGAGAGAGATTTACTTACTTTTTTTTTTTTTTTTCAGTGGTAAGTGTACTTACTGTATTCTAATTTATATATATATTGGTTTTATCTGTGCTTGTGCTTTATCAAGGTTGTCCTCCCATCTTCTCATAATATACTAGATGATTGTGTATTGACAAGGTTTCTTTTGCTCTTTTTTTTCACTTACTACAGAGTAAGGTCTTCTGAATCCTGGCTGGTGTGCACTTCCCCTGCAATGAAAGGGGCACAAGAGGCAAAGCAGTTTGCACATACCTCCCCTGTATTTTTAAGTAGTTTATCTCTCTAGTTCAAGTACATCTGTTAAGCAATAATATGAGTGTGTGATTCTTGTTGGCACAGGCTCCTGCTCTACCTGAGAGAAGTGGGGGTTTAGTCTCGGTTGTATTTCCAAATGCTGTAATCCAGAAGTTTGTGTTTTTGGGGTCCATTTGTCGGTGGAATGTCCTGCTCTGTGGCTGTCTTCTTGTCTTGTCACTCATATGGCCTTCTGGTTGGTTCTCTGCAGTTGCTGTGGCTATGCAGGTTCAGAGGAAGGGCACTTTCCATCAGTGTCTTTGCTGAATCTTTTAGGTCTTTCTGGCACAGGAAGTGTTCTGCTTTCTCCCTAGTTTTCTGCTCTACAAGTGGTAGAAGGTCTGCAGCCTTATTGGAATTATATTGCAAAGTTACACTTTTGTGAAACATGCTCATGTTCAGACCATATCCAGTACTTAACAGACATCAATCAATCTTCCAGATATTTGTTTACTTCAAGAAGACCTTTTTCTGACTAAGTGTGCTATAACTTTTGATATATGGACAAATAGAACCAAGTTTTATACTGGTCCAATCATAGAACTCAATTTTTTTTTCATTATTATGATATGAAGTAGTGACCATTCCCTTCATACAAAGGGATTTGATTCAACTTCCAGCTGGAACTCTATCTCCACTCTGCAGTTGTGACTTAATGATTTACTTACATTTTGCAGTTTTCAGGTCTTCCACATTTGGACTCTTTTCAATTTCACGGCAGAATCCTGCAAGATTTCTGCGAGCAGAAAGGCCCATTGTGTTTGAAAGCAGATAGCATTTCTAGTACCTAATGCCTTCTAAACCTGGTTGGTTTTCAGTATCTGAGTAGAGTGACTCAAAGCTTTAGCTTCCTGAGCGTATGAAAGTTTAGGACTTCAGAGGAACACTGGACATCTTATTTAAGCCATTGTTACTGTACTTTCCCTTCTGACCTAGTGATGGGAGTCAGTACTTTCTGAGACAAATCTGAGTGAATTAAGCCAACAAAGACAATAACATAGGCACAGTTATTACTTTCTGGCTTGTTACTGTAAAGCTTTACCTTCACATTCTGCTGTATATATGACTTCCAGGAGGTTGTAAAACAAGTCACAAAAGATATTCTGATTTCGATGTTTCTGATACATTGCAATAAGATACTCTTTGCTTTATCTGGTAATTTTCATATGCAAGAAATCACAGTGATTTAAATTGGGCTGCTTATATGGATGAGTGTTATTCTTTGAAAATAAAGAACGTGAGAAAAGCTTCTGTATTTTTGTGACTAGATTCTTGTAAAGTACAAAATAAAATGTAATTATTGACACATAGATTACAAAATATCAAGTGACTTTATCAGCCTAATGTCAAGGAATTTACCTTTTGAGTTTGAACGGTCTTGTGCTCATTGTCTTAGTAAAAATGGTGTCTGGTACCACTTGGCCAGATGGAACAAAACATTCTTTCTGCTGTATTAAATACAATTATTCTTTGCAGATGTTTGCTATTTATGAGAGATTGCTCAAACATATATATTTTTTTTTTTTTTAATTGCTTGGGATTTCTTATTGGTCTGTCAAAACCTGTTCATTTCAGAACTTTTGGCAGTCTAACATTTCTTGTGGCTATTGTTGAAAAAGGCAGTCTGTGTGTCCACAAAATGGCAGAATGGTTCAAGGTAGGGTCTTGCTGACACTGTCACACTAAATTGTCACTGGGGCCTAATCTGCAAACTTTAAAATTAAACACTTTTCTAATGTTGTTTTTTTTTTTTTTCCTGATGTGAATAAATTCACTACTGAGTGCTCGCAGAGAGAGGTGCTTGTTGTCAGGCAATTATGTCAGATGAAACATACAGAAGAGTAATATTATAGTCTGAAAATATTTTAGATAATTTACAAGCATGAAATCTGAAGATGAATTCTGGGAATTTAGGAAAGGGAAAAGACATTCTTTCTCATTCTCTTCTTCTGTATTTTGCAGTAATTGTTTTGAGTCTGTAAGCTTTTTCAGCTTATGAAAAACATTATGGCTGAAGGTAAAAAGAAGACATTAAAGCTTTTGCCCACTTGTGGCAATTACTTTGGAGACAAACACAACTCAGAAGACAAATATTATGAGCTACTTGTACGTTCTGGTTCACAAAATAGATAAGGAGCCAGAGATGCTTCTGAACTTGCAAATGAAATTTATTCTCCATGTAATGGTTGAGCTCATTATCTGCTGCTCTTTCTAAATGTAATGTAAAGAGTGAAATGCCCATATATTCTATATAGAACAGCTGACATGTTTTCTGCATTCCTGTATTTGCCTAAAAAGTCATGGATAATCAACTTAATTTGATGTGCAAAATATAATGCATGGATGAATCCTGATACATATCCTTTGCCGTGTCTGTGCTGTTATGAGAGGCAAAAACTTCCAGAAAAGAAACAGCAATGAAGATCTTCCTGATAATTTTCTCATCGGTTTTTCTCCAAGGACATATTTGTAGGTGGATGCTACAAACAGTGTTTGGGTTTCTTTCTCTCCCTGAATGGCTGATTCTGTATATGTCAGTTTCTCACTGTCTTTCTTGCTGTATTAGAAATCAAACCCACCTTACCCCGCACAATGTTCAGCCCCTATACTCTTAACGAGGAAAAGCTAACCTGAAACATTTCCTTTTCAGACTTTCTTATTACTTAAATGTATTTTTAAAATATTTTTTAAAAAACCCTACATGTATTACAAATAACTCCCCATGTTATTACTGTTGAGTTACTGTCTTTCTTGCTGTATTAGAAATCAAACCTACCTTACCCTGCCCAATGTTCAGTCCCTATACTCTTAACAAGGAAAAGCTAACCTGAAACATTTACTTTTCAGACTTTTTTATTACTTAAATGTATTTTTAAAATAATTTTTAAAAAACCCTACACGTATTACAAATAACTCCCCGTGTTATTACTGTTGTGAAGCAGAACAGGCGGGAACAGAAATCAAACCCACCTTACCCCGCACAATGTTCAGCCCCTATACTCTTAACGAGGAAAAGCTAACCTGAAACATTTCCTTTTCAGACTTTCTTATTACTTAAATGTATTTTTAAAATATTTTTTAAAAAACCCTACATGTATTACAAATAACTCCCCATGTTATTACTGTTGAGTTACAGCAGAGACAGATGTGATTGTAACAGAGGTTAGTGTTTTATAAGTAATAGCCTGGGTGTAATGAGACTTACGGTCTTAATTAACAACTTCTAGAAGGTTTTTAATACAGCTGAAGTAAACAAGTTTAAAATCTAATTTACTTCCCCTAACTGTATCAGTTTACTTTTTGCCTTGCTTATTTTGGATGACAAAACCCAATTTTTTCTTATTTTTACAGAATTTCTCACAGAATAGAGTAGCTATAGTTCCAGCAGAAAGGGCAATTTGTATGGATAAAAAGGATAAGTGATAATCCTGATTGGGTGAAAAAAGAAAAGAGGCTGTGAGGTTAGATTTAGTTCTGTATTAGTTTATTCCTTTCTTGGAAATACCTACTTTTGCCATAATATCCATCAGCATTATGGAGACTGACAAAATTTGGTCATAGTATTTCATAGAGTTGGTGTATCCTTTTGCTGGAATGAAACAGCTGGATATTTTCTTTCCTAATGTGACCAATCCACATCTGTTGTTGTCATTTTAATTGCTGTGGCTGTTTTTTTAAGTCCTCTACAGAAGGTCTTTGTAGTGACAAGCGAACAGTTTACGCTTCGTAAGCAAACATAAAGAATGCTGCTGCTAATTGGAGAGGGAGTAATGCAGTTATGATTCCATCAACATTTAAGTTACATTGTTAAAGGACACATTTTGGTTGCGTTTATGTTGCTACATAAAATTTTACTCTGGGTGAATTTGGTGGGGAAGATTTTATAACAGGAAAGACTAATTCTAGGATTACAGGGAAGGGATGGAGAGAGAGAAGTTAAATTTTTCTAACCCACATATACAGTATTAAAGATCAGCATTTTATTACTCTTTTTGTTTATTATAACTCTTAATTGCTGGCTTGTGGAATAGCTTGTATATGAAAAGGGAAAGACTGTCACAGCCTCAAAAAAAGCTCACTTCACCCTGCCCTGAAGAACCGTAGCCACAATGTTTCATGTTGAAGAGGGCTCTTCCAAAGTCACCAGTTTCCCAAAGGAAGGAGTTTATTACTCAGTAATTTAGTCTTTTGGGGTTTTTTTCCTAGGTATTCTGCATGTTGTATCTGTAGACCTCCCAGCTTCTACAAGTCTAAAGGACCTTGTTTTAAACCTTCCTTTTTTCATAAATTACATTTCCATGGAATACCTGGCTATGAATTAATAGTTTTACAGTTACGTGCCCAAAGTTGTTTCCTCTTAATGCTAATTTTTTTTCCTACTTTCATATCTCTTCTCAGATGATGAAGCATCTGGAGCCTCATCTTGAATAGTCTTGGGAGGGCCAAAGGTGCTTCCTTTCCCAGTTCAGTGGCCAGCTTGGTGGGTTTTTGAAGATACAATTTTTTAGTGTCTGAACAGGGAAATCACAGCTATTTACACGAGAAGAATCATGGAGATGACAGGGCTTCCCCCCCAAAACACTCTGTGTAATCGCTGAAGACATTCCAAGCCACTCTAACGAAGTGTACTGTCTGCCAGTCATTATGCTCTTCTTGGAGACCATCTGTTGCACTTCAAATATGTAAAGGTCTGCTATCATTTATTGCACCAAACAAATCGGTTTCTTTGTCTGACATGCTATAACTCCTGCATGTGGACTGCAGGTAGTTTCAGTTGCAAAGAGCAGGAGATTCTCTTTTGTTCCACCGTAAATGAAATGTACTCGTCCATCTCAAATCTCAGAAGACAAACGTACCGATTAATCTCAGTGCTTTTGAATAATTTCGATTTATTTGGCAACAAAATCTTAACAACAACAATGAAAAAAATCTGAAATATATTTTCTCTTAAGTCAGCCAGAAGCACATTGCAAGATTTTTGCTTCTGGTGAATGAACCTTTCCATTGTAGTGGTATCCAGCCTTGACATATACTGACATTTGAATTAAAATGATCTTAACTAAATTCTTTAATTAGCTTATTTTTATCTGAAACTTGTTTATTCAAAGAAACTTTCAGTGGTAAAAAATAGTCAGCCACTAGAACTGGTAGAACCTTTCTTCTGATAAGCACGTGTCCTTTACAAGGGTGATTGTATGAATTAACTAGGATCCTTTCCATGAATAAAAGGTGTGAGATCAGGCACTAAACAATGATTTGTTTTATTTTTCCTGCTGCGAATTTTAAGAGTACATACATTCATCTCAGATTGGAGAAAATAAGCATTGTATTTTCACAGCAGAAAAGTTCTGCTCAGAGATTTCCAAACAGAGAAATACATAAAAATTTCTGTCTGATCAGGGAGTGGTCCTATCTCTTTCTCTTTCCCTTCTCCTCACTGCATAGCAGCTCATGTTCTGGTCAGAAGTAATAATATGTTAGATCTTGAATGTCAGTAGCCCCAGAGATTCTGACAAGACTATTCATGTGCATTCATACGTCTTAACCAAAGCTGACACTAAAGAGAGCAAGAATTCTCATATTCCTCTTTTTATTGCTGTGCATTAAACTCAGATCTTCTCTTAGAGACCTCTGCTAAAAATGACATATTCACCATTTGAAAAAAGCATTCTTGCAAAATCCAAACAAAGGAGTCAACCATCAATACGGCGCAGAGCAGCCTCCTGCGAAAACTCTCGGTGCAAATCTAAATTGTGTTTTACACCACAATTATGGACACCTTACAAAGGCTGTAAGAGAAATACTGATGGGAAATAAACAGTCCCCCTAATCTTCTCTCCTGTGGGGGCTCTGCTATTGTCATTTTTAATTAAAAAGTAAGTGGTCTTCTAATTTCTTGAAACTATATGGCATGCCCTTATAGGAATACTTGGAGTCCGGTAGCTTGAGCTAGTTGTTTTCCGTGTTTATTTACACACAGTGTAACTACTCTGCTGGACCTTTCACTCTGGATGTATTTATATACATACTTGTGGTATGGTGGGTACATGTCTGGGTAACTTTGCAGTGAGCTGGTCGTATTGTTAAAGGTGGATTGACATTTCTTTACAGCGATGATATTTTTAATCTTCTTTTTTAAAATTGTTTGGTAGTAGTGACTAATGCAGACTAGGTGGCTCTGGGCATCTAGCCATTTTTAGGTAGTTTAATTTGTTAAAAATTATCTTTCTTCCCACCCAAATCCCCTTGAAACCATTTGCAGAGGAGAACTGTTGAACAGTTGCCAATAATAAGTCCTGCTGAGACCTCTGTATCCTCCTGATAGAACTGTCGGTGCCAACTGGAGACTGACTGGCAGGAGTTTGAACTCTATACTGCTTGATATATTTGCTTCACATGGACCAATTACAATAATTACCACCTCTGCAGCTGAAGTTTAAACGTTCAGTCTGCACTTCATACCTCAGGTTGTTGGCAATATGTTCAATCCTATAATCTCAATTTTCTTTGAACGAATTAAGTAGAAAATAAATACTTTGAAATACTGGGAGAGAGTCTGAATGGAAATCAAATGCTAAATAACGTCATTGTTTTTCGTGTTGCTATTGTTCTTAAACTGTGTTTCTTCCTTTTTAGTCTTTATTTCTAAAAAATAGCATCTTCTTTTAAGTTCCTCTACAGAGATTCACTTGGAGATGCTGCAGTCCATTGACTTTTTATATTCAACAGTGGAGTATCTTTTAATGTGAATGAAAAAGCAATATGAAGTCCTACCTTTTGTTTTGATGCGTTTTCAAAATCTCATTATTCCTTTCAAAAGAGATACTTTTAACTAAATGGGAAAACCATCTATCCCTTACTACTCTTGGCTGGATGTTTCAGTGTGACCACGTGCAAGTGTAGGGAGATAATTTCAGGACCAGTGACTTACTGATAACTGCCCAGTTCCCGACAATTCCACTGGTTTAAATCTGATGCAACGGGGATCATCTCACCCCCACCCCCACTACTGATGTCTTTCCAAAAGACTAGTTAATATTTAAATTGGATCAGTAGCATTTTTTTTTAAACTGGTGAAGTTCATATTGCACAAAGATGAACCTAAGATGGAGCAGAAACTTACTCTTTCCTAATATGAATGCACCGCACAGTGTAGATACTAAAATTTATATTAGAATTTCTTCATGCAGTTTCCCTCTAGGGAAAGGAAGAGGGAAGGAAAAGGCTACATGTGACAGATGCTAATTATGCAGCTTAATGCACTTCTGGAAGTTGCAGAGAACAGAACTATGTAAGAACCCATCTAAAAAATAGAAAGCATATATTCAATAGCATTTCTCCTTGAGGGTTTTTTTTTTTTTTTTTAATCCGCCTCCTCCCTGTTTTTTAAGGAGGTTTTATTTCCCAAATAGCACGTTTGATGTGCAAAGGGCAAGCCATGTCTCAGGTCCAAAATTTGCCAACCATGGACACGACTGTTACCCTGTGTGTCTTGTGTCACTGAGTGCTGTGCAGGGGACTGGGAATGCTGGGCACTTGTGGGTTCTGAATTCAGATGTGAAGCAGGAAGGGAATGACTCTTAAAATAAAACCTCTAGTTGACATGTTAGTCTTCTTTCCTCTTTTGTCAATATTTTATTAATTCTTTATTTGTGTTTACTGGGAAAAAAAAATATGTGTTCTGCACTTGACTGTGCTGGGATCTGTGTAAGTATTTATTGTGACTAATGGACTGTGTCTCAAAGTGCGTTGTACAGATAAGTAAACTGGGAGACAGGAGCCGGGTTCCTCGGAACTGTGAGGGGAATCAGTGCCAAGCCCAGCGTTAGACACGGGGTTAATCCTCTCTCCCAGACGCTGAGCTGGGCTGTTGCAGGCAAAAGAAATGGAGTCCCAGCTGGTGAAAATTTGGTGGTGTCCTGAAATCCATGGGGAAAAGTAAGTGTACACTTGCGTACATCGGACCCACAGCGTGTCATCGTACTGGATTTCCATTCCCTCCACCAAATCCCAGTTTTAAAAAGGATACTTTTTCCTCTTAGAGGGAAAACCATACCCGTTCTTATCTACCAATGCCAAGCTTTCTTTTATTTCCTTCAAAGCACTGCATGTCTCCTTCGGGGCTTTATAACATCTCTCTGTGCAGTGAGGGGATCCCCCTGAGGAGACCCGAGCGTCGCGCTGGACCTTGGGAGGTCCTTGGGGTGCCCCCCCGGGCAGCGTGGATGAGCAGGATCCCCCCTCGTGCGCCGCGGTCCTCGTCTGCAGCCACCACGGAGAAAACCATCTGTTCCACTTGGAAAGGGGTTTGGTTCCATACGCCCTCCCCCCCGCATCCCGGCGCCCTCCCCAGCTGCCGTGTGCCGACGAGCACCGAGGGAATGAATCTCCTGCGTTAAAAATACTCGCCTTCTATTTAGATAAAAAGAAGACTCTTGCTTGCCTACACCGACACACAAAAATAGCCTTAGTGTGAGTAAATCTTCAAAGTTTCTCTCGGTGAAAATATCTAGCCTCGCTTTTTTTTTTTTTCCTTTCTTTTTTTTTTTTTTTTTTTTTTTAACTTATCATACAAATGTATTTATAGAGTGTCCTTCTTTCCTCCTACTCTATCAAGACATTTGCAGAAGGTTGCCACTCGTCTTGTTCCCGAGTCCTGAAATAATTTGCAGGGGCCTTTGAAACTTCATCGTGTTGCATAGCTGTGATGCAACGTGCTGCTGTTGCATGAAGGGATCGTATTTTAAGGCGAATGTCACGTTAGCCGAGACATTCCAGTCTTTCTTTTACTTTCCCCTGGTTTGTATTTTCACTCCAACTTCCCGGTCAAAAAACTCTGTGTGTAGCAACTTAAAATGTTACATTCTACACGCTAACCGTTGCACAGAACATTAATATGTAATATGAGAGGATTAACAAGATGCGTACACTTTCCAAATAACTCTTAAAAATAGCTTTCCCTGTCACTCCAGCATCTTAATTCTGAATAATCTCAAAGTCAGTCCCTCTGCGAATCTGGGCATGTAGTAACAGAAACCACCTACTTCATCCTCACCAACCGCACAACACGTCGCTGTGCCTGGAAAAAAAATGTAATTTTGGAGTACAGTTCTGCTCCGGCAGATATGATGTCTGTGGGACTAGTGAGAGCATTAAGAGCATTAGTGCTCGCGTGAAATATTAATGCGAACTTTACGAATACTTCCATATCTTTCAAAAAAAAGGTGAATATTGCTCCAGCCTGCTATTGGAGGCTAGATCCTGGGGAAACCTCTGCCAATTTGCAGCAGAGGAGCCAGGGCAAGTGTTTTCTTTGCTGGTGGGACAGACTGTGCCCGGACTTTGTCCCCGGGTGATGCCCACGACGCGGGGAACACGGGGACATTGAGGGGACAGCCAACTCCGGGGAGGCGGGACTCGAACTCTTGTCCCCGCCGACCCGCCGCTTCCCCCAAACTTGCGGCTCAACCCGCTGCGCCACGGCCCGGCGCGGCCACTAGATGGCGGCCTCCCAACGGGGAAGGCGGGGGGGACTCTGCAGCGCCGGGGCGGCGCCTGGCGGTCGCGCCGCCTCACTGCACCCTCCTTTCCCCCGGCCGCGACGGCGGCCATCGCGGTGCGGGTCCACGTGACGGCGCGCCGGCCAATCAGGGCGCGGCAGGGGGGCCCCGACTCTCGTCCCTGCGGCCGCCATTAAAGAAAAAGGGGCTCGGAATTAAACGGGAGAAGAATCCTCCCTCCCTTCTCTCTTCCCCTTCACCCCCCGCCCCGCTCCGGCCGCGACGCGACATGGGGGAGACTCGCTGAGGGGGGAACCGGCTGACCAGGATGCCGCGGCCGGGCAGCCGCCGACAGAGGCACCGCTGAGGGGGGAAGCGAGGAGGAGAGACCCGCCGGCGGGGGCTTCGGGGCACCGACTCCGCCGCCAACAGCAGCAGCAGCAGCAGCGGCCGCCGCGTCCCTCTGTCTCGGAGGCCGGGAATTGTGGGGGGGGGGGGGTGCGCCCCCCCC